CTGGGGGTTAAGGTATTTACGCATCATATCTGCGGGGAGTGATGAGGTCGGAGCCTAGACGCCAAAAATCTAAATATGCTGTACTGCTTAATAAACATTCCAAACGTGAGTTGGCTGACTGAACTGTCAGTGGATACCAGTGTGTATCGCTTTCTGCTGATACATTAGCCCCTTTCTCTCTCCACACCATGCAGACACGCATATCATAAGCTCCTGTATGAGAATCTACTCCTACCAGAATTATTGTTTACATATACATTTTTTGTATTGTCTCTTTTTCTTCCAGTATTGCTCTTACACACCCTCTCGCTCCCTCTGTCTGTTGTCGCAGCGATGTTGGACAACTACTGCCAGAGTTTAGGAGCAGAGAAGACAAAAAAAGCTTGCATTTCTGAGCCTCTGCTATGTCCTATAACCAAGGCTGTCACCTAAAGCGGTGATTCCCAACCTTTTTCATTAAGAGACTTCTTTTCTATAATATATTACACTGACAACCCTTTCTTCAGACACACTTTATGGATATTCCATTAATATTCAAAAAAGTACAATTAATCCAAATAGTGAACCTCAGTAACTGCGATACGTTTGTGTAAAACCAGGCACCCCTAGATGCATTTTTAACAGATTATTTCCTGTTTAAGAAACTTTTTATACAATCAATCATAAATACTTAATAGGCTCTTTTTTTTGACAAATTCAGTGATTCAGTGTTTTCTTTTGTCCCTGGCGCTTGGCCATTTTTCTATTAGACAATTTACTTAATTTATTTTACATTTACTTTTCTTCACAGAAGTGAAGAAGTGAACCAGATGCAGAAATATAGTCCTACTGTGTATATTTTTTCAGTTTTCTTACATGGCCTTAAAACCCAGAAGGCTAGTGGGGGTCCCGACCCCCAGGTTGGGAACCACTGGCCTGCAGTATCATGACAATTTGTAAAACTGATCTCACAAACATTATTTTAGTCAACACGCTCTATAGATTGCAATATAAGACCACAAAAAGCAAAGATTTGACTGACAATATTTTAAAGTGAAGAAATTCTATTTATTTCACATAATTGAATCAAATCTATATCAATGGGAAATCTCTACCACCAGCTGAGCAAGCAACAGGTCAGGAGATGCATCTGTCATCATGATATGCCACCCACGCACGCACGCACACACACATGCATACACACACACATCATAGAAACCTGCAGAGACCCACACACAAACATATACACACAATATGCAGACACTTGTACATACCAAAGAAAAGAAACACACATGCATTTCTATTAAGATTCTGTCCACAGAGACAGAAAAGGATGCGCAAATAATGTGGAAAGTGTGCCGCAGTCCTTCATATCTGTTAGAAAGTCTGACAGAATGTCCTTCTCCTCTATCTGCTTCGCTTTCCCACTGTCATTCACTCAGTCTCTCTACAAATATTTATTGTGCCATGTGTATATGAGCTTTTAAAAGCAAATCAAATCCCATACAACACACAACACATATTTTAATGCACGTTCCTATAGGTTAATTATTTATTTTAAACAAAGATCCAGGGACACACGTTTGAACATATACGTGCACATATAGAACACACGTTCACACAAACTTGTGTGTGCTTGTTTGAACAGGGGTAGAAGTCATTGTATGCATATAAATGCCAAGGCCGCAAGCAGGAATGTAGCTTCAGCTAAAAGTAAAGGTATGAAGAGACTTCGCAAAGGAAAGAACTTTATTTCCATACCACGCGACTCTACGGGAGAGAGCGGAGAATAAAGAGGAATGTGAAGTATTTAAATGGTAATGAGGGAAGCACGAGAAAATAAAGCATAAAGCAAGAAGATGCTGATAGAGATGGTTGTTTTGTCTTATTTGTTTTTGATAAAATACTTTTTAAAGTATTTTGACAGATTTCTATTATGAACACACATGAATTAGGATGAGTAGAGTCAAAAAAAAAAAACAACAACAGAAAAAGGCAATTTTCAAACAACAAATCAATGAAACAAAAAGACAGAGAAAGATATTGTGGGATATTAACATGCATGGAGGGAAGAAGCATTTATGAGTAGCAAACAGATGAAACAAATAAAAAAACTGAACTGCTTTTGCAACTGAATAGTAAAAGTGAATACTGAAAATGGATGTTTTTGACAGTAGTATTGACATTACAAATTCATATCAAAGCACTGGGAGGAGATGTCATATGCAACTATTGCAGCTTTTGTAGAAACAAACCTACCTCAACAGCCTCTACCCTTTCGCAGTTTGTTTTTCAATAAGTTAGTGTGTGTCCTTTCAAGAGTGGATTCACTGCTGAGAATTTTTATAGAGATGTCAATCAAAGATTAGGCAGAGTCGAAACACCAGGCAGAGGTAGGTTTAATTTAGTCAACTCACAGAGATGTGGCTCTCGTTCTAAGTCGGAAGGGAGAAAGATAACAAGAATAAAGGATGCTCTAGAGTTAGCTATCTAACATGATCATGAGTGACAGCTGGACAAAGGGACAGTGTAAGATATTAATCTTGGCAATTTATAGTAAAGAAAGGATGTTGAACAGATTAAGTTGAATATAATATTTAACAGACAACAAATAATGCATTAATTAAAATATTTTTCCTCCCATTTATTTAAACATTTGGGCTACATTAGGCTATGTGCATTTTCAAACCTATAAAACATGATTTGAGTTACTTTTCCTGACTTCAGATGGCTTTATTTGTGCTCCTGAGCTTTGCTTTTGCTTAGTCATTGTGCATAACTTCCCATAGTGACGGTAGGGATAGAGTTTACCTAATTTATAGCCTGCATGGTTTGCACTATTACTCAGTCCATCCGGGATTTTGTGGGCTTTTTCGGGGGATTGTTGCGGCCTAAAATGCTTGATTTCACAGCAGCTTTTTAAAAGAAATTGTGATGGATTTTTTTTTTTGCAATAAAATCGCAGGAGAAAGTGAACATTTCAAAAATAGTTAGATTATGATTATTATGATAATTATTGTATAATTCATTAAAAATTGAAGGCAGCTGCACTGTTTAGACAGGGAACATCACACATCTGCATGGTCTGCATCTTCACAACTAGAAATAAGGACGTATGGCTCAACGTTTTGTATAGGAAACTACAATGATTCGTCATATTCATTGTTGCTGTGATCATATTCATTGTTGCAACACTGCGCAGAATTCACAGGGATTGGTTGAATTTGCGTTAATTGTTGCAACCTCAACATGGCAACTTCCTGGAGGGACAGATAACTGTATTTAAACAGTGGAATTAGTTTGAGTGCTGTTGTTGCCTGTTCAAGTACCAATTAATTATCTTATCCAAGCCTATAATTTACTGCACCAGTCACAGTGCTTTCAGATCCAAAATGCATCATCTGATGTGCATTGCCTGTTTTTCTTGTTACAAGGGGCCAGAGTGCCATCAACATCTGTCAGGTCTGACAGACATTGTACCAGCAACACTCATGTTTGCTGCCTTTCAGGGCTTCTCAGGGCCATGAATTGAGAAATGTCATGGATTGTCACACTATCAAAAACAAAACAAAACTTGGGTTGTAATCCTAGTGATAACATGCTGATGCACTGCAGAGCACCCTTTTAGGCTTCATTGCTGTGCTACAGAAAAGCCAGCCACGGGTTACACTGGTTTCTACAGGGTTTGCATCACCCTTCTCCCCACTTCCATTACACATAGGTTGACAGGTATGCATCAAATTGTTAGTTCTGATGTTAGCGATCTATGTTTTCCCGCCCGCTAAGCTGATGTTTTCCCATTCCTCTATTTTTCTCACATGAATACTGAAAATAAAAAAAATATTGTTGAGCAGATGCATGCTCAGCTGGCCTGTAGTGCTCTGCCAATATAATAAAATAGAAGGGATGGCTCGATTCCACTTTTTCATGTCCAGTACCAATGCCAGAACCTTCAGTATCTGCCGATACAGATACAAATCCTAATTCATCTGTATGGATGCTCTTGTCTTAACATATGCTCAAACTGTGAAACAAATATACTACTCCGATGAAGAAAGAAATACACAGCATGAATCAGTTATTCAATACTGCGGCTTCTTCTTATTTAGACTTTTTTCACACAGAACTTTTAGCAGCATTTTTGATTGGTCAACAAGAAATTAAATACATTACATAAATGCTTACATTTCACTCATCTGTTTGATTTTTTTCTTCCTTGAGAGAGATAACTCCACATAGCTGGTATGATGACAACGCTGCTGACAGGTCTCACTCACATTCTAGCTACTGCTCATGTGACACATTCTGCTTATCGACATACCGTAAAGAGATACAGCATAGCACTCAAGTTATCGATATCCAATCCACTTATTTTGGCCAGCACTGGACCAATACCGATCCTGAGTATGGGATCAGCACATCAATACAGCACAAGTACAAATACACTAACTGGAGGTTTTGTTGCTCGGCCTGTAAGCACTGCAAATGTACATTCAGCAGAGTAATATTAAGAATCTGAAAGAGCTGTAATTTGTTTTTCACCTAAAATACCCACACTTTTTAGTCAAGTCAGAGTAGTCCGGTTAAAAAAGAATATGTAGTTTTAAATTTATTTTCTGCTGGATTCTATTTTTTTAATGAATCAATAAGTTATGATTCTTGCTGTAAGAAGACACCGTTCACTACAGAGGTAGTTAAAAGGGTAGTTAACTCTTGGTGAGGACAAGTGCAAAGTGCCTGAAACCAGGAACAGACAGTATCATCCAGCTGCGGAGTAGAGCACTTCTCTGTATTTGAACCTGCAGTTCCAGTCCAACCATCCCCACCTACAGGCAAATAAGTAACAGCAGCAACTGTTAAGAATTTGGAGGTGTACAGATGTGCACCATCTACAGGCAGCCAAAGCAATGAGTGTCGGAACTGCATTTCTTCCAGCTGTTGTTTTGTTATGTATCTAAAAAATTTAACTTGTTTTCTGCTGAACAGTGGAAGTGTCATTGTCTATCCTCTCTCAACCAAGATTATTTTTGCTTTGAAGAAGAAATGAGGAGGGTCCTGACCAGGTTTTATTTGTCTAAAGGAATAAGCCCAGTTTTACCCACAGAAGTTTTCTGCTGGCTCAGGGTTATGTGTTTTTTCTACCATGGAGGAAATAAATTCCTAACCAGTGGAAAGCGACTTCTGACTACATTACCACAGAAATGGATGAGACAGGGTCATCTGTCAAACAGCCAAGAAATATGGAGTCAGAGAAGGGCACAGTAGAAGCTGCCAGCAAAAGAAAAAAAAATGACTGCTTTTTCAACAAAAATGGATGAAAATACAAGAGAAGCTTGCTCTGGACAGGACTACACACTCAGTCCTCTGGTGCCAAAAAAGTACTTGGGTTTGGACAATATGAGCTGACATGTACAGATAATGTTCCCGATAACAAGGTTTTGTAGCAAGCAGCTACATATTATGCGGGCTGACATACACAGTGGGTATAAAGTGTTTAATTTGTAAAGTGATCATTAAAAAACATCATCTGAGCAAGTTTGGAAATACTTAGTGACAGTGCAGCCAGTGATTACTAAAGAAGAGCTCTCTCCAATCTATGGAGCTGCATCATTTGATGTAGACTCCCTGTGTTATAAACACTTCATCTGCAGTTTCTATATATGTGTCAAGTTCGGTTTTCTCCCATGCTGTAAAACATGTCAAAACATCCATGTAATCTTCTTTGGTGCAATTTAACAAGGTAATTGGCCTCCAGTGGTTTTTAAACCACTGTGGGTGGGAAAGCTTTCTCTCTGTGAAAGGTTATTGAGTTGGCAGACTTTTACTTGACTAAAAATGCCTCTAATGTCTAAATAACTTCTTCAAAGCAAGCCAAAGTACTGTTTTCTTACCATTCTAGTTAAATAAACATAAAATGGTGGTTCCTAGCTCCTCAGGACCACTTATACAATCCACTCAGTACATAATATGTTACAGCATCCTATCCCAGCTCAATGGATGGCTGTGCACAATGTGGTATTTCTACTGGGTTACTCAAGTTATTAGCAACTGCAATCTTAGGGACAAATACTGCAGTAAACAGCTGGCATAAAAATTATACATAGTCTGCATTACTTAATACTGCAATTATTAAACTTTAATATCCATATATATATAATGTGAGTTTTGAAATGATACACCCAACTAACTCATAACTGGTTCAAACTCTCCTTGTAATGTTTTTGTTTTCTTTATTTCTTACTGATCATCTGAAAATATGAGGTCTTGATGGAGAAGTACAAGTTATTTATCCCAACACTGTTCAGGCTGACATGTTCCCACCATTACACTCATAAATGCCAGTGAGGTATATATAAACTAAAAAGAGGCAGAAACAGAAAAGTTGTACTTTAAGAAGGAAAAACAAAGACTTTCAGACATGGAAATATGCCACTGTACACTCACACAAATGTTCTTGAGCACGCACACCAACACAGAGCGCTACTGTAGGGGCACAGTGACCTGTTCACAGACTCCAGAAAGCAGCTTGATGGCTAATCTGAGAGAAAACAATCACTTTTCATCTGTATTTGAGCGGCAAGTGGGAGCTTTTTATGTCCCAGACGTGAAGGAACATTAATCACCTTTGCCTGCATTTCAGCTACGGCCAAATGGCCAAGACCCCAGCATATTGGCGATGGCCGTGACGCTACCTTTTCCAAATCCAGCCTCTATAACCACTGCCAAATAGCAATGCTATGTTCAGCCAGGGCCTTTTTTTCTAACCTCCAGATAAGGCACATATGCCTGTGAAGTCAAAGTTTTTATTTTCTCATACCCTATTTTGACATCAAAGTAATTAGGGATATGAAACATCAAAGAATTTTAAATTATTTCTTATCAGTGTATCATCAAGATTTAACTACGCTGTTAGTCGTTGCTGATGCTTTATACTGTGTGCTCTTTGTTTAATAAAAAATCATCACCTTTGGCATATTCTCATCTACCTTGTGTTTTTGCTACATGTTGGTGTTTAGGAGGAAGACATCTTGGATCTGCTGGAGCAATGTGAACTGGACGATGAGAAGCTTATGGGCAAATCCTCCAGGCAACGAGGCCCTAAGGTGGGTGAGAGTGAGAGAAAGGTAGGGAGACGCACAAACCAGGAGAGAGGAGGGAGAATAAGGGCCACACGTCTCAAGGGACCTAAGAAAAAGTGCAAAGAAGAGTGTCAGAGAGAGAGAGAAAGAGGGAGGGAGGGGGGAGGCAGGTAGGCGCAGATGCCTGGAGCTAACGCCCACAGAAAGCACATAGGACGTGATTCAGAAAAATAAAGAGGGGGGTGGCGGGTTAGGCGAGAAAGAAAAGAATCAGAAAGAGGCCCAAAGAAAAGACCCAACTCCCCTAGGGGACAGCTGTCAGGCTGTCTCTCTCGCTCTCTCCGTGCTATCTTTCTTTCTGTCTATCTCCCTCTCTTTCTGTCTCTCTTTCTCTGTCACATACACCTATACGCCCCCTCGATTTCCCACGACAGCACATTACTCCCTCCATCACCTTGCCTCACTCCCCTCCCTTCACCTCTCCATCCCTTTTCTCTCCCTGCACATCTACATCCATCCCTCACTCGAGGGCTAAATTGGCTGGAACACTCAAAGAGTATGTTAGGGACTCGACAGGGCAGTTCAGCACTACATTAGAGGGGCCTTAGCTGGAATGAGGACTTGTTCAGACACAATCACTGTTGTCCAAATTAATTTGGACCCCGTCAGTTTCGATGTTGCTGAGTGTGTGGGGAGAGACATTGAGAGCAGGGGAAAGAAATAGCTGTGACGGATAGATTCACTCCTCGGGGTGTAGTGCTCACAAGCCATCTGGTGAAACTGAACCAACGAGTGTGCGAAAGCTAGAAGAGAGGAGTGAGGCAAAGGGATTAGGGACAGGATTTTGAGGGAAGGACGGGCCGCTACGGTTTGTTATCGCTAAGGAAATGTTTCGACAGAGGGGGCGAGAGATGGAGAGCAAGGAAGGCAGGCAGGAAGTGAAATGGCGAGAGGAAAGAGAGCTAGAAAGTGCCTCCAGGTTTTCTTTTTCCTCTCATTTAGTTATTTTTTTATTGTCTTTCTCTGTTGTTTTGACTCCTGCCATTCTAAATGTGCAAAAAATACACCGTATCACATTAGTCGTTCATTGTGTTGGCCTCTTCCCTCACCTTTCTCTTCAGCTCACGGTTTAGCTTGATTTTACCCAATCACTCTCACTTGGTCTTCACACACGTCACACTGTTTTTCCGTCCTTTCTCCCTCTCCTCATCTGTTCAGTGTCTGGCCTTCTCTCTTTGCCTTGCTCTGCACTGTTTATCCACTGTCTGTTCCTGTCTTCTTTTCCCTCTCCACTCGTATGTTCAGTGTCCTCTATCTGCATTAATTTCCGTTCTCCCACTCTATTCAGTGCCTCCTCTCTGTTTCTCTCCGCTCCCATGCTCAAGATTCACCTTGTCCTCCTCTTTATTTTTCTACCCATCAATCTGATGTTCCCATCTTCACTTTTATTTTTCTCTCATGTATTTAATCTCTCTTTGTCTCCACCCTCCTCTATCAGTCACCCACACAGCTAGCCAGCGGTGACTGTGTAAGCCCTGTGATCACTTCCTGCCCATTAATTCGGGTGGCCTGACAGCACTGTCCCAGCTAACCGTTGAATAACAAATGTATAAATGCTTTATTAATGTCATCAGCATGTCCCCTTACAGGATGTGAAATAGACACTCAGCTTAATGAACTCCTACGTTCATTGTTGTGTTCTACTCGGGGTACAGAATTCAAGCATCTCAGTTGCACTCACATGACATAAGTCTTTTCCTTTACATCTTACTAGCACAAATACAACAGCAGGTTTGTGTCAAAGAGGGAATATTACAAGAGCAGTATCATCTACAAAGACCGTCAGATATGGAAATCATTTAATATCAGAAGAAACGATTATACTTTGAATTTAACCTTTACATATCCAATCAGGTCAAATTTGTTCAAGGTATTAAGCCACTCATGTTCCTATTCATAGTTACAGCCAGGCTTATAAGGGAGTGCGTGTGTAATTGTGTATCTTTGCATAATGAGCCTGCAGGCAAACATACACACGTGGGCGCTTGGGCTAGCGTGTCACCACCAGGTCTCCCAGTGACAGATGGTAATAGGCTGAGGGTGAGGAGAGGCTGAGGGAGGTTGACAACGTCTCAATGTCTTTATGTATAAGTGTTTGTGTGTACTTATGTCCTTGTGAGAGGCTGTTTGAGTTTTAGACCTTTGGAAAGGAGGACGTTATTCCAAAATGAGGTAATTTTGGACGGTTTAGGGTTAGGGAAGCGAATGCAGTGGGTGGAGGGTCCCATGAGGATAAAAGCAGAAGGGCGTCTGTGTATATGTGCACAGATCCGACTACTATACGCACCAATGTGTGCACACTCTTATACGCTCTTATATGTGTATCTGTGTTTGTCCCCGCCAGCCCTTGACCGCCATGCCAGAATGCAGTCAGACACCAAGACGTCAACGACCTGACTACCTGGCTGACTTCACCAGTGGCAGCAGCGCCGATAACTCCTGCTCTTCCTCAGATGAAGAAGAGGAGGAGAGGAGGAAGTCAGGAGGTGGAGGAGGAGGAAGAGGCGGAGAGAAGAGGGAGAAGAAGGTTTCCTACGACCTTGGGGATTGCAAGGAGAAGAACTTGGCCGAGCGCTCAGGTAAAGTGGCAGGATGTATAAAAGTATCTAAGAATGTCTTTATTAGGAAGCGAGAGTGTGGGGGTTTGACAGGGACCTGCACTCTTTCTTTCTTTTTTGCTCTCTTGTTTACTTTTTTTTTGCTGCCTTACTTTCTACTTATTTTGATTGGTCTCTCTTCCTCCTGCCCTGTTTTTTTTGGTTTATTTCATTTATAGCTTGAACCTTCCATCAGATAACAGCAGTTAACAGCAGTCATTTACTGAAAACGTAAAAAGTTTTCCAGATGTGCAAATGTACACAGACACCTACACATTTTAAAGATTTCTGTTTGACAGGAAAAAGTGTGAATGTATATAATGATGCAATGAGGAAATTGGAATTGATCCTCTGATGCTCCAAGGAAATGACATACACTCCAGCCTGGTACACTTTTACACATTTATACAGTTTGAAAAATATTCATAGTTGTACAGAACACATTACCATATACATGCACATGCACACACACTTTTTAAAATACAAATGCTGAGAGTTTTGCTTTGATCAGTACCTTCAGTGCATGCACATACATACTCTCCAGCAGCAGCGTGGGGCAGGTTGTACTGGTTTGAGTCAGCAGGGGCTACATTACAGATGTTCATCTGCCCCCCAGTATTTATGTGCTTAATTGATGTGATGAAATGGTAGCAGATCCTTGGATTTTAATTAAAGTATTAGCGGGGTGATCATAGCCTGTGACCCGTGGGATGTGTCTATGTTCCTAAGTAAAGGAGTGTCCTAGCTACATACAGTAACCAGACACACAAACACACACTCACACACACCAATGCCCAAGGAATGAAAAGCACTTGAGGAAATAAGTGTCCTGAACAGTACAGTTACAGTGAATGGTGAAGAGAAGAAGGAATTTGATTCAAAGAAAAAGGGAAAAAGGACCTCCACCGTTTACCTTGAAGACACCTTGAGTTTAATGCTGAAATATTCCGTGTTTTATAGTAAGAGTGATAAGACTCAAGCATTCTTACAAATTCGCATAAGTTGCATACATCCACTCACTTTCAGCTCTCTGAAGTGAGAAAGAGGGCAACTTTCAAAGCTGCCGACCTTGGAAAGGAAAAATTCTACAGTTGCATTGTGGGCCGCCGGTTTTACTGCTCAATAGAGAGGACCCTTGCATGAGCTCATTCTATTTGTCACAAAATAAGGGACAAACCCATGAAAAAGCCCAACTTTTGGACTCTGTGTGTATGCGTGTGTGCAGACAGAGACAGCAGCCCTGCCAAGCCCTACTCCATACCAAGCCACCAAAGAGCTGCTAGGACTAAGCCCCATAATGCTCTCATTTGGCAATGGCCAAACCTCGGAAGGTTCAGCAACCCCACACACGCACACACACAAACACACACACAAACACACACTGACACATATAATCGCTTGTGTGCACACTCGATGTCAGACACAGACACACACACACTGCACGAATAGAAAACACACTAATACACTGGCTGGTAGACAAGCTGGAGCAGAGTCAAGGGTGATGGAGAGTGTCAGTGTGGGTTTTCAGCTTCATTTTCTGTGTATTTGTGTGTGTTTTTATAGCGCTTGTGTGTGTGTGTGTGACAGAGAGAAAGAGCTGCTCTTTAATCCATCCCCAAACCAGACAGCACTACTATTTAGTTTCTGGTTTTGACTACACATGCTGCGGCCGTTAATAACATACACACGCTGTGCCACTGTGCCTGAGTGTGCTGCAATGGGAGTTTTAATGCCACACTTCATCTCCAAAGCCACCCGGCAACGGAGGGAAAGCAGAGAGGAGAGCTTGACAGTGACTGGGGCACTGAGACAGGATCAGGGAAGAAAAGAAATTGAAGTGTGACAGTGAGTCAGTGTTCCTCCTCCCTCCTCCCTTTCTTCTGTTTCTCCACAGGGCGCATGCACTGGAAACCTCCAATCAAGACGCTCAAAACCAGCCCCGCCCCCTCTGCTTCCCCGACACTTTCTGGTCCAATCAGGCGCTCCATTTCCTGCCCTCGTTCAATTTCCTCCCTCTCATCACCCAGTGAGGTGCGGGCATTGTCCGCCAGGCCTTCTCCTACAGTTCCTGTGGCCACTCCCCTCATCAGGCCGAGCTCTGCCACGCTGCGCTCTCACTCACTGAGTCGCAGTGGCTCCGCCCACCGCGTTCCTCACAGCAACAGCCTGGGGACCATCCACTCCCACATAGTAAGAAATTCACACACACAAAATAGGGTTTACCTCTTTACCATTCAGGGTGTGTCAGATAAATTGCCAAATTAATTTTCAGTAGTCAAGCTGTCATATTGCTCAACATGGCAATCCTCAGCTAATCCACTACTCTAACTAGATTTAAGGTAAACAATCAAGAATTCAAGAAGAATTCATTCCAGTTCTATGTCAGCAAATGCACAAATTTACCGTTGCTGCCATCACCTTTCCCCTTTGCTTTTTTCTTCTTGTGGCATATATTGTATCCGGGCTCACTTAAGCAGCTCCTTCAATACTGTATAGGCCTACTGTAGCCCACCACAATGATCTTCTATTATGTTGCCATCTGTTGCTTTCTGCCTGCCTCCTCCATTCCCCTTCTTTCTTTACAAGTATGCTGGTAACCTTTGGTTACAGTGGAACAAAGTGAAATCGGGCAGAATACTTTTTAAGATTGAGAATAGAGTGGAAAGCTTTTTTACTGTAAAAAAGGCCCTAGAGTGCAATGGTTGTCTGCTTGTATCCTGGCACACATGTATACAAAATGACAGGAGGATTTTTCATCTTCTTGCACACTTCCCTGTGCAAATCACACATATGCGGATAAGTACAAGCTGTTACAAGAAATTTTTAAAATGGATATTGGTACACCAGTGAGTGCATTTCTGTAGCAATAATAAAATGTTATTTTAAGGAGGTTGTTTTTATTCAAAGCATGTTACTGTGCTAACTGTTATGTAAAGAAAATAATGATCTGTGGCTATAAGAGGTGGGAGGAGGATCATAAATTATTGAGCACTTAAATGCCTGTGAAAGTGGCCCCAATATTTTGAAATAATAATGACTAATATACATAGTACAATCATAAAACATTATGACCTGCTCGTATTGTTAATCAACACTGAATGCAGCTCTATACTCTTTTGTGCCGAGGTGCTTTGGAGTAGCTTCTTACATAAATTAGGATTGAAAAAAAAAGTCCATTTGCCTTTATTGGCAGGGGAAAATACCAGGAATTGATAGGTAATTAATAATGAATATAATCACTAATTGCATGTCCTTATATAATTACATCTACTTAGTATACTTTGCTCCAAACCTGAGATGTCCTGATAACTAAATCAGACTCTTGTGGTCTTTAACCAGATTTATATAGATTTCTCTTCCATGGCTGTTACTGACATGCTGTACGTATTGAACACATACTGTATGTTTGGTTCATATAGGTGTTAAATGATACTTCAGTGTTGAACAAGATCTTTTGCGTATTAATATGCATCTGTGTACTCAGTTCTGCGCATGTGTGTGTGTATGCGTAGGGTGATCCCCTGATAAACCTAAGGAGTAAAGAGCAAGAGGCCGAGCTGGTGCGTCAAACTCTGGCCGCGCTCACCGCCATGAGGATCAGGTTTCCGGGCAAAACCGAGGAAGAGGCCGATGCTGTGCTGGATGAGGTGGGTGCACTATTTCTATTGTATTTGTGTACTATACTTTACAATAATCCAAAGTGGACTTTTGTGTGTGTCAAAATAAGTCAGAAACAGTGTAAAAATGTGACAATGTAACACAAGAAAAAGACTGAAATAAACAAGGAAAAGAAGGTGAGTGAACCTGAAGTACAAGTGCTGAACAGAAATCTGGACCCGCTGTATTCCCAGAGCCCCCTCTGTGGCCAGGTGCGGTCGCTCTGCAGCCTAACTAAAAGAGACCTCCTCGCCTCCCTCCACAATAGCCTGTCCACTCTGGCTTGGCTTCCATTGTCTTTCAAATGACCCCTGTGACAACCTGTCGGTCAGTTTGCAGCCCTGCGCTATTCCCCACTGCTCCTTTGTATTAATCAGTGCCTCCTCTATTTCTGGTCAGGTCTTCTTGCATTTTGGTGTGTGTACGTGTGTTTGTTCTATTGCTTAAGCTATTGCTTAAAGGAGAATTGGCTCATATGGCTGACGGTAACATCCTGGAGTCTATGGATGTAAATAAAGTTTATTTTTTCAATTCAACAATGGCTAAAGTGTAACTGCACCCCTAAATTCGTCCAGCTCCTTCCCTCTCAGCAAATAAAAAAAAAAAAATTGCAGCAGAGGACAGCAAAGGACAGCCACTGAAGGGAGCGTGGCTTCAACACCAACCAGAGTGAGTGAGTGAGTGAGAGAGAAGGAATAGCGAGTTTACAGTTAAAGCTCACCAGCCATGTGTCTGGGGGGAGTGTCAGTGCGTGGGATCAAGTCTGGTGGTGGTTCTACATCCGTCAAAAGCCGAAAGTAGATGGTTAGCAACAAGCAATCACAACCATGTGTTACTGTATTACGGGCCATATAGAAACAGAGCAATTTATGTTTAATACATTCTCCAAAAGTCTTTATTTAGTTTATGGGATAATAAAAAAAAATACAACAGAAAAAGTTAAAAAGGATATTGCATTTTTTTTTTTAAGCAACATGAAAAAGCCCAAAGTCAGGCAGAGGCTCACCTTCGATTCACACCAGAAGCCACACATCAGCGGCACAAAAGCACTATGAAAGCGTCCATCCATCCAAGCCATACCTACTCTGACCTCTGTTATGGCCACCACTGTCCTCGGAACCAGCTGTCTGTTTAGCGCCACAGCTCCCACGGTGCTGAAAGGACATCCATCCAGATGGACTGTCTTCACTAGGGTGACTAATGTCAAGAAAATACCACAAAAACCACATTATTATACACAAGACAGTTTTTTAGTAGGAAATGCTTGGTTTTTAAATCAACCTGAATCACATGTGTTGTAACACACATAAGATCCTTAGTATTGATTTTATTATTATTAAGATTTCTTATGTAAGGGTTAGGCTACAACTTGTAGGTGTTATGATTAAGGTTAAGTTAGGGCAAGCCACCAAGTAATTAGTGTAAGCCCATACAACGCCCTCACAGCAGCAAAAACAGTTTATGTGTGTGCGTGACATCTGGGTGTGTCGGGGTCGTGAGAGACAATTACAACCACACCTGTACTGTTAACAAACCCTAATGAGAGCACCATGGAAACGCAGATGAGCAACTGCACCTGTACTGTTCACTCTTTGCCTCGGGAGAGAAGGAGTGTTCACTTGGCATGAAAACAATCTTTGGCAATTTATGTTTCTTATGATTTAAAGTTGAGGTCTAATTGGGCTAATGATGTGTTTGTATCCAAGTAATTGCCTCCTTTATCTTTCACTCAAAACCAGTTTTTTTGTTGCAGTTGGAACCGTTGAAAGGTGAAACGCATCAAGTGTGTTTTGTGCTTTAATTGAGGGTAATCTGCGTATGTATGAAACAAATGTGACAAATGAGCGTGCATCTTATGACACAAGGTTCATAAGGTTCTTATTGAGAGAGAATACTAAACAAGCAAACATGTAACTCTCTGGAAAGCGAATGGAAGTGTTGTATACCATAGTTCTGTTTCTGTAAATCCTTGTGGATTGTTTTTTTTTGTGCATGCGTGTGTGAGTGAGTAAACATAAAGTTTACACTGGAGCTTCCCAATGGGAGCACTGTTTGCAGGGGATCTAGCATGCTACGTGAGAGGTTTATGTGCACCAGTGGGGACATGTAGACTAAGTCAACAGAGCAACAATAACAGTGCCTGTAGGTACACAGTGATATTTGCACTAGGAGCAAGTGCATGGGAATATCCAGCACAGCTTCTGAGCATAACGACACATGCCCCAAGGGTTTTTGACACACCTGCAAAACATAGGGACTGTCTGATAAATAGCCAAAGATCACAACCCGGTTTTTCTGTTATCCCTGAGTTGTGCTGCATTTAAATTCAATACGAAAAGATACCACAGAAAAGTCTGTGGCAGATAAGCACTGTATTCTGTGAATGCTCGCCATGTTACATGTTGATGAAAATGACATCATGTCACTTTGTCAGTCCTTGTACTAAGAGCTAATGTTACTGGTTTAACATGGCTCAAATATCAATAAAAGTAGTCATGTTCCAGTAAAGGTACACAAAATGTCTAAACCAGTCATGAGAAACTGATGCTTTAGTTCTCTGCTTTGAACATGGATATCGTTGTCATTTGACTCCGACAAGAGACTTTTGTGAGATCAAACCTGCAGTAGTTATGTAAAAATGGCTGGAAATTCTAGTCTGATTCTAGTTAAGTAGTCTGATGCCAAAACCACAGAACTACTTTCCCTACACGATGAAGACAAAATAACCAGACAGTGTAGTGATGTGCCGCAGTATTGCCTGGTATCATGTGCCAGATGCCAAACATTGCACAAGCGTTGCAGCTCTATTCCTAATGGTTTTGTCATGTTCAAACATGAAACTTTTCCACAATGGAGACGTATGTGTGAAAGCCAAAAACCCATTACATTAACAGATACATGAACCACCAAAGTTACAGATTCCATGTCTGGGCTGAAGTGTGAGAGAAAGAATGAGTGTTCGACGGTGGGAATTAGCTCTAGACTTCATCCGTATGTTCTTTGTCTATGTCTGACATGATCTGGACAGGAAAATTCTTTACCTTTGACCCATGCCTATCCTGAAGTTTAAAATGTGTACGTACTTGATTTATTTATCTGTTGATTTTATTGTTTTTGGTAGCAGTTAAACTGCACAGCACAATGACTGGCCTGTAATACTGTAGTAACCCTGGATTTTGATAGAGGATTGCTGAGAAACAGCAGATGTAATAAAACGGCAGTCGAGTAGACTTGCAGTGTTCTTTTGGAAAGGAATAGTTACAACTAAGGAAAATATTCCTTAGTTGTAAGGAATAGTTTAAGTTTTGTGCATGTTCAAAGCATTATTTTTCACTTTTTAAACCGACATTTCTTCCACAGATCCTTGACAACTGGAAATACCATAAATCAAAGGTGGCATCCTATTGGTTAGTGAAGCTGGACTCTACCAAACAACGGAAGGTGAGTCTTATGATGGAATCAGGTCACAAAATATCTGAGCAAATTCACGCGCAACTGTTTGGCTCCAAGTCTTCGGTAGCTACGGATGTCCAGCAAATTGTAAAGATCTGGCAGATATCTGTGTTTGTCTGGTTATTAACACTTGATTAGCTTGATAACAATTATTCACAGTGATGTTCACACTTTTGCCAGAGACCATGCTTCATTTATTTATAGATAGATAGATAG